ATTACGATGACATATCCATATAATGCATACAGTTAAATTTAGGAAGAGACTGTTAAAAATGGGGAACGAAGCAACGTCGACAATGATGTTGATATCCCTTGCTATAAACTAATAATGATCCTATGTGTTGGATAACCTTTCTATCCACCTTCTAATTAAAAAAAACTTTCTTTTCTTTTATGATAGCTGTATGTGATCATAGGTGTGTAATTTTATAGCCATTGTTTAATGTATATAAGAATATGGAATGAAAAAAAGATCGTTTTTAATGTGTATAATATCTATAGAGTCTAACGAGTAAATATATTTGCTATACTGGGGGAAAAATGCGTTTGTTGTATACATATTAAAAGCTCAGGTCTGATATTAAACTTCTTAAACACGGTAATCTGTCAAAAGCAAACCTGTCCTCAGGTCTGGTCAATAGCAGTATTGTCCACAAGTCTGGTCAGTAGCAGACATTGCCACGGTCTGATCAGGAGCAGACCTGTCCACGAAGACCTGTCCACAGGTCTGGTCTGGGGCAGACCTGTCCTCAGGTCTGGTCAAAAGCAGACTTGTCCACAGGTCTGGTTTAGTACAGACCTGTCAATAGGTCTGCAGCAGTCCTAAAAAGGCAGACCGTAGGTCTGGTCTACCAACGACGAAGTTAACTTGATTGTCTGCTTAAAATATCTCAAGTTAACTTGGAAAGCATTCAACAAGTCTGCTCCAAGTTAACTTGTGTACAGGTTAGAACCGCACCCATCTGTAAGTATAAAATTGCAACATTTGTTGTCGCATAAACACAAAGTACCGATCCCCCCTATTTTGTTAGAAAATTATACAACGGCATTACTAATCTTTTTTTTTTCTCCCTAAGGGTGAATAGTTTTACACAAATTTAGAGATCTGTAAGTCTATAGGTACCTATATTTATGTCGATAACAATAAAAAGTGACCATATTTCTTCGTTTTAATCTATATCATTGTACTTGTTTGGTAATTGAGTACTTTAAAACCTCAGAACGAAGTGTAAGACATTTAATTACAAAAACAAATTGAAATTGCAAAATTTGTTGACGCATATAAAAAGGTGCCAATATTTTCCACTTTGTTAGATTATTATTCAAGGTATCAACATTCTGTTTCTTTTTGTCCCTAAGGATCAATATTTTTACACAAATTGAGAGCTATATAGGTCTACAGTTACAAATATATATATGTCTATAACAATAAACAGTGACAACATTATTTTTTATTGATAGTCTTGTACTTGCCTGATAATTGATATCTTTTTATACCTTAGGATAGTAATAGACATAAAAGTGACGAGATTATCAGAATATTATACAATAACATTACAATCCTGTTCTTTTTGTCACTAATGATGTATAGTTTTACATAAAAAGACAGCTGTGTGAGTCTACGGTTGCTAATATGTATGTCGATAACAATAGAAAGTGACAATATTTCTTTTTTTTTATTAATATTTTTGTACTTGCCTGATAATTGATTACTTTTTATACCTAAGGATAGTAAAAGACATAAAAGGGAAGACATTTAAGTTTAGAATTGCAAAATTTGTTGTCGCATACAAAAAAGGTGCTTATAGTTTCAATTTTGATAGAATATAATACAACAACATTAAAATCCTGTTCTTTTTGTCACAAAGGATGAATAGTTTTACATACATAAACAACGTTGTGAGTCTACGGTTACTAATATTTATGTCGATAACAATAAAAAGTCAATCTTTTTTATTATTGATATTCATATACTTTCCTCATAATTCAGTACTTTTTATACCCCAGGATGAGTTATAAGATATAAAAGCGGAGAAATTAAATTGCAAAAAAGCAAAAATTGCAGTCACATAAACAAATGATGCCATTTTTTTTTCTATTTTGTTTTCTAATATTTTACAACTGCGATACAAATCTGATCTTTTTATCACTAATGATGAATAGTTTTACATAAATTTAAAGCTCTATTTTACGGTTTCTATCTCTATACAAATAACAATAGAAAGACAACATTTCGGTTTTTTTTAATATGCTACTACTGGCCTGCTGATTGAGTATTTCTTACACCTCAGGATGAATTGTAAGACATTAAAATAAAGAAATATACAGTTAGTTTTATGTATAACGATAAAAATAGAAAAACAAATACATTATCTTTTTTATATATTTTAAGTTTGTACCATTGTACATGTTGTAGTCGCGAGATGTATTTTTTGTTTTACACCTTGGGACCAATTGTTTGACATAACAGAGTGGGAATTATTTCGACGATGTTTTTTTGTCTGTAGGATGAACAGAATATTGATATTTTACATCGTATATATATATATGTGGAATTTTAAATTCGATAAACCATGAACTACGGCAAATAATTTGAAATATACGTATTGTCTAAAAACAAAATGTATAGATCATTTGATGTGGTCTGTTTTATTTCAAGTCTTGAAACAGTGCTCAATCTACCGTACACATGAATAATAATTGTAAACATATGAAACTTATTTCTATGTTTTGTAGTATTCATTTTTCCAAAAATTACTGAACATTTTTTTTTAAGCGATACTTTATTTATTTATCATTTGCAATTTATTAACAAGTTAGAAAAAGTATGTTTATAATTTGCACAAATTGTAAACGGGAATAATAAACACCGTATTTTTTATCTACCGTAAGGTAGAGATGTTTACCCGAGTAGACATTTGAAATTTTAATACTAATTGCGTAAACGCAATATAGTTAACCCGCAATTATAAGCAAACGCGAAAATCGGAAAAATGCAATATTTGCACGTGGCGTTAACGTGCGTTTACTTTATGTTTAGTTTTGTTCTACACCCATTTTTATGTTTATGCTGATGTTTCTGTTCTGAAAAAAGCAATGACATTCGGCTCTTGGATCGTATTTCAATGATAATAACAAACATGATGATTGACCAGTTGACCCTGCACCGTTTAGTTTACACAATAGGAAGCAATAGTATTTCTTTATTTTGATTGCATGGCTATAACAATAGTAGCTAGCTACTCTTTAATGAGAAAATAAATACATTTCATAACGTGTGTTCACCGGAAGCTTTGATGAACAGAAAGTGACATCTTACTCTTTGGTAAACAGAGGATGACATATCACTATTTGATAAACAGAGGGTAGCATTTCACCACTCTTTGATAAACAGAGTGCAGCATCTTACTATATGATGAACAGATGGTAGCATCTCACCACTCTTTGATAAACAGAGTGCAGCATCTTACTATTTGATAAACAGAGGGTAGCATCTCTCCACTATTTGATAAACAGAGGGCGGCTTCTTACTCTTTTATAATGAGAGGACGGCATCTCCTTATTTGTTAAACAAAGAGTGGCATCTTGATCTTTGATAAGCACAGGACTTATGTATAAATGTAAGGGATTATAGGATTCATCCTAAAAGGAGGATTCTATCAACCATCTTATTTCGATTGAGCAGACATACATTTAAATGGGAAGATTTAATTACAGAAATATTAACATAATTAAGTATAATATATTGACTTCGGAGTATATACATGTAATTCATTAAAGCTTAATGGTCTGAAAGTGCTTCACTTTTTATGATTTACATTAATTTTACGTTTTACAAAGTCGGAATAATAGTAGCGGAAATGTAAAAACTGCTTTCTTTCTGTGCCGTTTAAGAAGTTTCAACAGTGGACAAGTATTCAAAGACGTTTTTTGTTCACAGCTAAGCGTACAGAACAGTCGAAATGCTGATCAAATATTAGTACCTCTAAGTTGGAGAAACAACACATGATAGAATGTGTTAACGTGCATGCCATTGATTTGTTTACAACCGTTGTTCATCTGAGTGAATCAATCATAAAGTTTACATCAGATCTAAAAATCCAATAACTGAAATACATATATAAATGTATATATTATTGTAATAAGAATGGATTATAATTGGTCCACCACTTGTTCCATATATTGTACACATTGATGAACAAAGACTGTACTGGATTAATTTCAATGGAGACAGGAAATCAGCTAAAAACGATGGCTCTGATGTTAAAACAATACTTTCAATAACACCTAATACAAACTACTATGCTATCGGTGTCGACGGTAGTTACATATATTATGCCCATAGCAATCAGTTGTTAATGGTGAATAAAGCACAAGGATCCACGCCGACTGTTCTGTACAACGACGTCAACTACTATATTTACAGTATATTTTTGTTTGATTCATCAGGTATGTTAATAGCTATCTATAATCACTTGTAATGTTAACCTACGTCACAAATTTAAACGAGATAACATTTTATTACAATATCTTATAGATTTATAATACACACAAGCAAAGACCTGTTAGACTGGTAGTTATTGTTAAACTATCTCACGAGCTACTAAACATTTACATGTGTATACCACCGTTGTAATTGAAAGTCCTGCAACAGACGCGGAAAGCTGGTCGTTTGGGTGTAAAAATAAAATCAGTGTTAATTTTAATGTACACATTCTGTTGAAATTGTAATAATTAGTGCAAACGAATCATTCATTGTTTTTATGATTTCTTTATTACATTCTGAACCAAATGTCAATGAAAGCAGTGCAACAACAAACATGAAGTTATTTGGATAAATCCGTTTACACTCAGTAAAGAAAATAAACAAATAACCCGGATTTATAATTTGTATGAAAATTAATCATGTAAATATGTTCTTAATTATATTGTGTGTTCATATGTTTAACGATTGCTTATTGTCCTACATGTGTTTATTTTGTTTATTTACAATTGCTAGTTGCTTCCTAATGTATTAATTTTTACTACGTACAAACATATATTGTAATTTTGATTAATCAAATAACATGTGTAGTTTCTGCATAATGTTGGCTTCCATGCGTTGCATGCAAATTGCTTCTATTAATATGTAACTTTATTTTAATTTTTATTAATGTTATTGTCTTCACCGATAAATGTATTAATACTGATTTGTTTTTGCTCTTGAATGAACTGAATTCAATCTCGTTAAGCTATTTAAATTTGTTATTGTAATAGTACCAACTTCAACAACATTATAATAATTGTTTATGAGTGAAATTTATATTAATACAATTTAACGACACAAACAAGAGCATGAAGAGGTAAGTAATTAAATTAAGTTTTCAATATTAATTAAATAACTAAACTACTTTGTCTTATTGATATCTATATACAAAATGTGGAAATCATTGTCAACTGCGACAACTCTTCATTGTTTTTTAAAATTGTTGTTGAATGGAATTACGCTTTTAATCATGTTAATTTAGATTACGAAATATACCACTTTGTCCTCTAAATATAAACATTCAAAATTGTGGTATCATTCTCAACTGAGACAATATTTTTTTATTGGATAGCACTATCATGATTCTGTTTGTAAAATCAATCTAATTCACAACATCCAAAAAAAAGCTAGTTGTTCGAATAATTTGTTACTATTTTTTCAACTTACCCAAATGCAAATTTTTCTGTAGTCGTAAAACACCCTAAAACCTTAAATAAGAAACACACTATGCTAGTTTTATCAACACTATTTTTTTTCATTTTTCATCTGAATCTATCTCATCTGAGTTTGATGCAACACCTTCAGTATCAGATTGACTTCAGGGTGAGATGTACAAATCATATAATCAGCATTTAATCCTGGATATGGATTGTAATGGAAGCAACTAAAATGGGTACATTTGATTATGAAATGGTCTTTTAAGTAATGCTGAGTTTTTGTAATCTTAATCAACATGTTAACATTTTTTAATCAAATTCTATTATACAAGAATTGTTTTTATATTCTTAATTCTGCTTTGGTTCATTCGATGAAGGATCATGGATTTTGTATTACATTCTTAAACGGCTTGTCCAAAGTTGTATCTTTTTGGTTTTATGAACTAATTTTAGCTTTAACACAGACTTCAACATACCCACAATCAAAGTAAGTGGTTGTGTCCTGAATTACACATGAACGTATCGCTAATTAGCAGTTATCATTAATCTAAATGAATATTATGCCTTTGCCTTATTATGTAAGGATAAAAAATACGTTTACAAAGGCTGTAACTTATATGTATTTAGTGATCAAATAAGGAGCATCCGAACACAAGATTTTGCAATAGACATGACATATATTAGACATACATGTGTACTAATTAATATAGATACTTACTTCATCTATTTTACAGGTTAAAGTAGGGTACTGCAATGTAAACAAAACTGAAATTGTAGATCGAAAGGTATGCTTTACGTGTTGATTTGATTATTTTTACAAATATGTCATTGACAGTTATATATCCGGAGGTTGTTTTATAAAATAAACTATGATGTTTGCAAGTACAAGTACTCTTTGCCTGGGATATTTTAAGTGCATACATATACATTTGTGAAATAGGGTAATTATTCCGATAGTTTATTATTCTTTATTATATTTATAAATTCGACAAATGCACCTCTCTACATTTCATTTGAAACTAAAATAATATCAACTTTATGTATTTTAAACAATTTATGCTAGAAATGCTCAGGTCAGTGCATTAACTATTTTGAATATAAAGCTATGCATTTCATTTAAATATATCTTGCTTGTAATGCTTGTCCTTAATTTTTTTAGGACGATATGTACAGATGACAACGTCAATCTATGGAAACGTCAGATTTTTTCAACTTTTACATGGTAAGTTAATATCACTATATGTATTGTAATCAACGTCATTAGCCCAGTTTCACTAATACGTTACTATTAAAAACATACAATGATCAATTCTTGTATTAAGTAGACAGTATCTCTAAATCAATAATTGTATTTGAGTAGAAGAACAAAACAATATAGACAAGAAGTAGACGTAATCGAGGTATCTGTATTTTTTTTAATTATTTTTTGTATTTTCGTTTGCTTGAATCTTGTTTTCCCCAAACATGCGTTAAATTATACAAACTACCAGAAATACGACCAATTATTAATTTGTGAAATGCATATATAAATCATTGAAATTGATATAGAAAAAAAAGATTCAAGTAAAAAAAAATACCTTCACCTGTACAGAGAGTTTCAATCCAAATATATTTGGTGTAATTAAACAGATATATCATATTATTGAAGGGTATTTGCAAAAAATACCAGTCTTGGGACCGAATTTCCTTCGCCTGGCGGCTCGGGAATTTTTACAGTCCCTTGACTGTTATTTTTCGCAAATACCCCTCCATAACATGAAATATCTATTCAATATCCCTCTCTTGCGAAATGGAACATGATGGAAACATGCTTGCTGCCACTGTTATTTAGTCTAACTGAAATGCGTTTAGATATGCCTACGCACGTGTAATCCTATACAATGCTATGCGATTAATAAAATCCTAATTACGCACATATTATGTATACTTGACCTTAAGATTGTTTTATAATTATCGATAAAATCGTGACAATATTTGATGTTTTATTTATTTCACGTCTTACAAAATATACGTTAGTACTTTCAACAATGTTCAAACAATATGTTTACAATCAAAATGTACTGGTAGTGCTTAGCTATACAATGACCATGAATTTGCATATCATATCTGTTTTTCTTTCTATTTTAGGTCAAAATGCATTGTTGAAACGCTGTAAAAAGTGGTTTATATATCCATTAAACTAAACGTCTGTAAACAAGGTTCTAAAAGTCATGAACATTGCGTCTAGAGACAACAGACAACATATGTGAACAACCATAATATTTCAAAGCTTATTTACAAGATTTTAACATCTGAAACTGGTGTCTTAATGTATTTTCAAATGTTACGAGTATCTATTGTAGACAGTATTCTCAGCGAGGATTTACCAGCATGTTAGCACTTGCATGCCAAATATTAGAAAAATAAACCAATAACTGACTGACACGTCGTCCAGAAAAATAGTGTGAGTTGGATGCTGTCCAGCACATGCCAAATCTAAAAGAAATATATGTCCTTAAGATTAATTTAAACAAATTCAGAAAATAATTTTATTCATCAAGTTCTGCTCTGTATTGTAAAATTTTAAACAAGTGTATGTATAGTCGGTCATGTAATGTACAACTTTCATATAATTTAGATCTCACTATATTGTGTAGAAAGTTACAGTTTTGCTCTGTTTTTTAATGATTTTTTCCATATATATTTAAATCAAACCTGTTTAAGAAGTTATATAAGAATGTATCTTAAATGTCGTTACTTCGAAAAAAATAAATAGTTCACATGTATCCAGCTTGATCTTATTAGGTCGTTCCACTTTTCGGTGGAAAGACCTATTGTATTTGTTCTGATTATTATTATTTTTTTTTTTCTTCTTCCGCCACTTTTATTTCTTGCGTATACATTTTGTTTCGTAAGATGTCGCTTAGATGTTTGGTATATGATATCGAACAGTTTATGCGCCTTTGAAATTCACCCTGCGTAACCAAATACTTTTCTTTGTAGGAGTTATCTCCCCGAACACTGTTTTCCTTGTGACTGCATCTCCTCCGTAACGGTATAAGAAAGCGACAAATTTATTTTATAAAATTGCTCGTTATATCCTTCGCATGATTTGTCCAATTTTGACCGAAGCGATACGAACACTCCATATGAGAGTTATTTCCCTTTATGCATTTGATATAAGTGATATGCATTTCTATCTTGTAAACCATAAATGATAGAGCTTTAGGATTTTTTGATTTGAGGTCCTTTGTCAAAAAAAAAAAAAAAAAAATAAGGTCGAGGTCAGAGGTCAAGGTCATATTTTAAATTTCGATTTTGGCTTATTTTCAATTCTTTTCAAAAACCGTATAAGATATCGACAACATATTTTTACTAAATTGTAAGTTGCGACATGTCGTAACACATAAATTTTGGTTGAAATGGGTACACTAACATTAAATTGGAGTTTTCTCCCCTCTTATATTAAAAATTAGGCATATAGTGATATAACTCATTAACCATATATAATTAAGACCTATGGTCTTTTGATTTGAAGCCCTTGGTTTATGACCTTGAAATTGAGCTCAAGGTCATAGTTAAATTTGACGTTTTAGATATTGACCTTTGCTTTTACCTCATATGTATACATGATAAAGCCATGGGACTTTTTGCATTACGTTGCAAGCCACTTGACCATGGAAAAGCCAACCGGAAGTGACCATGTGTAAACCGGAAGTAGCCATTTTTTGTACTTATTTCATGTAAAGTATATTCAACCATATATTTTTGGAATCAGTATTAAGTAAACTATCAAAAAAACCCGGAAGTGACATTTTTCAAACCGGAAGTAACAATTTATCTCCCTTATTTAGAACAAAAATGTATAGAAACCATATATTTTTGGAATCAGTGTACAATAAGCTATCATTTGACGCTGGATATGTTAATTTAATCGAATTTTAATAGTTCTATATCAAAATAGATCTTTATGGGTGGAAATACCTTCAATTGTTCTCTGAACAATTGGTTTTTAATTATTATAAAATTGCATTTTATTACGAGAATGATACTCTGACTGTTTAGCAAAGCTTTGTCGAGGACGTCACTCATGTCATGTATATCTTAAAAATCCATTTAATAACAAAAATGTATCTCCTTCAGCCATACATATGATTCCACGTGGCTATATATGTGTTGATTGTATAATATTTGGATTTTTAAATATGTTCTCCCCTGGCATCACTGAGAAGAAACAATTGATGAAACACGTATATTCTGCAGTGAAATTGGTACCGTTTATGATATCATTATACTATAAAACATATGATATGATTTTGATGACACAGCAATCTAGTTGAGTCCAAACAATGTAGTATCTGGAACCGTATGGTATCCAACAACAATGAACAGAACCCATACTATATGATTAGTTATACTTCTCGGACATACAACCGTTCGTAACAATTCCAACGATAATCCCAGCGGCCTGCAATTTACAAATCAATCATCCATTCAATAATTATAGATTATTACATGGCATTTTCCATATTGGCCCTGGTATCAGCCCTAAACTCCCATATCAAGCCAGAGGGCTTTAGCTCGAGGGCTTGATATGTTTTGTGGGCTAATACCACGGACCATATGGAAAAGGACATGTAATAATCTATTTATCACATATTTTCAAGCAAGAGAAAAAAGATAGCATATAACAAATTATGTTTGAAATTTTCAACAAAAATTTAAAAAAACATTTAACGAAAAAAAAAATGTATCAGTCAGTTAACAAAGTTCGTATCACAGTGAGTAAACAAAGCTTTGTGAAAAATTTAGCAAATAATTAATAATTAATATACTAAATTTTATTCTCAGAATTGTAAATAATAAACGACTAAATGGGTTACGTTTCCAATTAATGCTGAGGAAGAATACACCATATCGCTGCTATGATTTCGAAATATGTTCCGCTTGAACTTTCGATGTCATATACAACAATCACTTTTCCATTGTGGCGTGATATATTTTCTAAATTCTTTATGACGTCAAAAGTTTACGGGAATATTTGTGATTTCCACTGTTGATTTTTACATTTTTTTCTACTACAGCAGATTCGTAACTTTTTAAATTTCTTTTCATTGTGTTCTCATTTTTCATATGAATTTACATGCATCTCTAATTGATCTATGAACAAATTTTCCTGATCGTGTAGCTGCTTCGGATGATAACTTATTTACAAATATATTTTGATTGAGAGGTAACCGGAAGTTAAACTCGGGGGCTCGATATGGATTTCGAGGGCTGATATCGTTATTGGCCCCGAGGGCTGATAACCAACTTGACTTCTGGCTATTATTGGCCATGCAGAAACGTACATATCAGTACAAAATATGTGATAATATGACATTATATAACGCACCACAATCACTGAATTAAAGGCTCAAAATTATTGAAAGAATTATATATCATTATATAGAATATGGAGAGTTAAAACTTGTGTCCAAGCTTCGAACCCCTAACCTTGGTCAGAGATGTACTTAAGAATAACGCAAATCAGTTTGAAAAGGCTAGATTCGTGAGATTGGAACGCAACTTTAAAATTACATGGCATGATTATCAAAGGTACCATGATTATAATTTAGTACGCCAGACGCGCGTTTCGTCTACATCAGACTCATCAGTGACGCTCATATCAAAAGTCGAAGCATTGGGGATCCAAAATTCCAAAAAAGTTGTGCTAAATACAGCTAAGGTTATCTATGCCTGGGATAAGAAAATCCTTAGTTTTTCGAAAAATTCAAAGTTTTGTAAACAGGAAATTTATAAAAATGACCACATTATTGATATTGATGTCAACACCGAAGTGTTGACTACTGGGCTGGTGATACCCTCAGGGACGAAACGTCCACCAGCAGTGGCATCGACCCAGTGGTGTAAATAGTTATCAAAGGCACCAGGATTATAATTTAGTACGCCAGACGCGCGTTTCATCTACATTAGACTCATCAGTGACGCTCATATCAAAATAATCATAAAGCCAAACAAGTAAAAAGTTGAAGAGCATTGAGGACCAATACAACCAGACAGGGTTTGGTCTCATTTTATTGTAAGTCATTTGTTTTGATTTGATATATTCTAAAGTTGAAATGCATTTGATTACATCATAACTTGCAAAGGAAAGTGGCTTATCTTATCAAAATAATATTAATATGTTTGACTTTAACAAAATATAAAAGGAGATTTAAGAAAACTGTTCTTATTTCCTCAATCTTAATGCGTCGAATGTGCATTTTGACAAATTCTCTCTATGTTTGAAATCGAGAAGTAAAGCAGGATTTAAATTAACTGACATAACTATACGTTGACACTTAATTAATACAAAACAGGAAAACATAAAACGAAACAATTATGACACAAACAAATACAATTGAAACGTGATTTTCAATTAATTGATCCAATCTATTCATATTGACATACATATAAACAGACGATATGAGCTGCAAAACACCTGCATGATTGATTCGCCTGTTTTTGAATTATGTAACAAACTATTGGCGTGATAAAATGTTAGGTATTTTAAAAAAAGCAATAAAGACGAAACTCTATCTTGTAATGTATCTTTCTGAAACGTTTGATATAGTTTTCGTAACTTATTTTTCAATCTCTGCCTTTCTTTTTGGAGGATGGTCGTTTTAGTTTTCTTATCATTTGCAATGGAATTTTAAGTATTTTTTGTCGGTAAATGTTTGTTGATTACCCTGTTGATATCATTACTTGTTTTTGCCCAAGGATCTTTTTTTTTGCTATACTCGAGGAGATTATATATGATCATGCGAAGATATATTATTGTTATAATTTTGCATGGCGTATCATTTTTGGTGTGGTTGAAACTTTTATCATGCAGTCTCATATTTCTATATCAGCCATAACTGTTATTTGTAAGATTACCTCAAAACGTCTTCATGATGTTCGTTGAATGGTTGTTTGTTTATAGTCATTGCATGGCCGACATTACATTCATTCAATCAAAGTTATAAATATATCTTGGTAAAAGGGGGTTGTGAAGATAATTTGTTTCCTGTGCGGAAATCAGATATCGAATTTCAAGTGTCATATGCAAATAGTTATAAAAGGTACCAGGCTTATGACGCGCATTTCGTCTACATAAGACATACCAGTGACGCTAAGATCAATATAGATAGAAATCCAAACAAGTACAAAGTTGAAGAGCATTGAGGACCCAAAGTTCCAAAAAAATATACTATTAAAGACAATTTGCTCTGTCACATAGTATTTTCGGCGTCTTTCTGAAGTGTTTTAGAATAGTGATCGGGAAAGAAACCGGAAGTTTTCTCCAAAGATCTCCAATATTTGACATCTTCTAAGTCGTCAGACATGACATGAATAGCATTGATATATTGGTATTGCCATGTTATAGGGATACGTTAATGTGCACGATTTTAATCCTATGTCATTCGAAAAACTAATACTTTTATAAATTTCCTGTTTACAAAACTTTGAATTTTTCGAAAAACTAAGGATTTTCTTATCCCTGGCATAGATTACCTTAGCCGTATTTGGCACAACTTTTTGGAATTTTGGATCCTCAATGCTCTTCAACTTTGTACTTGTTCGGCTTTATAAATATTTTGATATGAGCTTCACTGATTAGTCTTATGTAGACGACCGTG